CTGGTACTTCGTTAAATTCCCATGAAACTGTACAATCAGAGGTAAATTAATTTCGAATGACCTTCAGGATTAATTTTGATTTCGAAATTCTGTTATGTTCAGGTGTTGAAGGCGCAATACGGGCCAGAAGAAATGTTGTATCCGAACAAGCAATTATACCGATACAACATACGTAATGGCGACGAGATCATAATCGACAGCAAGTTGAATCGTTTCGTGTCGTCGTCTTCGACTACGTCTTCCATTCGTTCATGAAGAAGGTGTTCCAGTGAATCGTCGGACAACACAAAACATACCTGACAGTTGTTGGGATCTGATCTCTGCTAACAGATCTACTGATCGAAGGTCTCATAGGTTCCAATCGTAAATCGATTTCGGAGAGACTTGGAATTTTTATGTATACACACCGAGTAATCGTTCTATAAGTTATATTTATCGATTCTTCAAGGTTGAAAAGCATAACAAAATACGTTAAGAACTGACAAAAGAGTCGCGTTTGTGCGTAGCAAATGGCTACACGAGGAAGCAAAGTTCAAATTTTTCCAGTACGAGGACGTATTAAATACATTTCTAGAGAAAGGAAGGAAATTTTCACATATTCATAAACACACGTATATTCTGTATCATGTTTTTATGAAAAATTTTCGTGAATCTGTTTACAAAGAATTTTGCGATTCTTCTTCGAAGCTTCGCGTTAATCGTAGCGTAGATTGCAGTCGAACGTATCTGAATTAAAATATAAGGTAGTTGATTAACGTATCCTCTGCTACTAAAATACAGTTCCTCCTCCCAATAAGCTACGTAATCTCTTTATTGAAAGTGTTTTTACTCTATGCGGTAACGCTCGTTTTAACACATTGCTTGCTATTTTCTTCTCCTTTCTAATTCGCTTTATCAGAAACAAAAATACCATTGCATTACTTAGACAATTGAATGTGAACAGTGGGACGTATGCGTTAGTAGCAGTGAATGTGTTAAATAGCATCTAATTTACCCGATTATTTTCCAAGTAGTGAACGTTGCCTGTTGACTAGGAACGTGAAAGTTCGTTCCTTCATTACATTGTACAGAAGAAACTTTATTAGTGATTCGATTGTAAAGTTCGAAGAAGAAATAACGGAAACCAAAAAGAAAAAAGAAAAAAAAAAATAACGTAGTGCTAAATGTCGTAAGCACATTGGTATCGATTAGAGACGAGTACTTACATGATTCGATCAGAAATGATACTTTTAATTTCTGAGCCGAATTTACCATGTTAGAAATGTTAACTAGTGAGCTGTTAAATTCGATTTATTAACGTTTTGTAATAATAAGGGGATTCGACGAAGAGCAACATCAGTTGAATTAAGCTCGTGGATGAATTTTTAAACGTGACACAATTCGCATACTTCAGGGCAATGCAACGAGTATGTCGGAAAAATAATGATAGACGTCGAGATTGCCGAAAAGAATGAAAACTATTTTTATAGATCGCAGCTAGGCACGAAGGCGCCACGAGAATATAATGAGAACTATAGGCAATGATAAAAGTATGAAAGTATGAAAGGTACACATACACGGCTTTGTCTTGATCACAACGACCAAAGTTTCGTACTGGCTGATGCAAAAGTTCTTACTCTGTACTGAAACAGCATAAATGTCAATGCAGATTGTCATATGGATTTTACGTAGAGTCGTAGAAAAGCAAGCAGAAAGTAATAGTCGGTACTATTATTTTTACACTTTTACGTTTATTGTCTAGCATGAAGAGGCGAGTATTGATGCTTTTTTAGAGATGAAAGATAAAGTGATTCCCGATATAATTTCATGCATTTTTATGTACTTAAGCTTGACAGTTATCGATATGGGATGACTGTAAATTTAAACGCAACTAACACAATACGTCTCTAAAGTATCGATATTTTTAGTCGTTAATTTACCATTGTCCTTCGGTGTATCCTTTATTGTATAAAATTCATAAAATGTACAGAAGAAACTGATACACGAGGAAGCTTAACGTTAACGCGTGCGTGGTCATGTGTTAGGAAGAAGACAACGATGTTGCGCGTTTTGGTTTATTCCGCTTGCAAGGGAGGAATCTTGAAGAGTCACTTAGTGCCTGCCTTTTATTAGCATAACTTGAATATTTCTAACACTGCCCTTGTAAATACCATGAATACATGAACTGCAACGCAGCTTCGTCGACTCTTCATGGTAGTGCGTTGACCAGTCAGTGTTTTTCTGTGATCGTATCTCAACATTGGAATATTTCGTGACTTAGGAGCTAAAAAATTCTGTAAGACTTTTTTTAAGGATTAAAAAAAAAAAACACATTAAAGCATGGTCTAAATATTCCAGTGCAAGAGACTTAATGATTATGAAAGTCAGAGAAAAAGCAGAGCTGCAAGGTTAAGGAAGAGGTCTGTCTACGCCTCTCTGAAAGATCGAGAACGGTATCGCGAACGTTTGTGTCGTTGGATTTCAGGGTTATCGATGCTTTTGGAGATTGTACGTACCGTGCCGAGTCGTTTGATCGATGCATATCGCAAGTATTCACGAGGAAACGAGATACAAAAACGCAATGACCCTGAGACCCGCACACTGTGTCTAGTCTTGGAAAGGAAACTGCATTGTTCTCATTTTATATAATATGATCCTTTTTTGTGCTGGCGCAAATGTGTACGTACTAACGAAATAAAAACTTTATATGAGACGACCCGTGTTTTCTTACACGATGTCGATCATCGATCATGAATATCATGGATCATAAACGTTTAGAGATTAAACATACATTGACTGTATATTTTATACGATTGCTATCGAAGAATGGAAAGTATTGTGCAGACTGGCCAATAAATTTATCAGTTAAATCTGTGCCATGAGCGTGAGGAATTAAACGCATAGGTCAGGATGCTTTTCTAACCAAGACTTTAATCGACGAAGAGTATATCTTCGAGATTAAAGTAAATTATCCTTTCGCAAAACGATGAACAGAGCTAGAAAAAAAAAAAGATATGTTAAAGTTTTGTTGCTGTCAATGAACTGCCTGTTATTGTTTGATACCTTATTGGTTGCATAGGATATGCCTGTTTTGGCTGGTTGATGAGACAGTGCAAGGACTGTAAGCGCATCGATCGCGAACGACGCTTGGCGTCGCGACGGACCTAAAGGCGACGCCATGTTAATCAGACGACGCATGGATAAACGTTGCCAACGAAGTGAGGAAACCTGTCTTGAATGACCTGAAAAGCTGATCGTAAACAGTAATATAGTAAAAGAAAAAAGAAAAAAAGATATTAATATGCAAGCAAACAAATTTTTTTTTACCGAAGTATCGATTGTCACTCGATAGAAACTTTCCAGGGGTAACTCCGCGTGTTGCGCCAGCCCTGTTTACAGGGGCGCGTAGTTTTGTCCGATAACGAAGACGCAGAGCTGGCTGCATAAACTCGAGCGCCCCGGAAACTCATTCATCGTGAAAGTTGTCTTGCGGTCCATTTGAATAATTTTATACAATAATTGTATGTTATTAGGAAACGTCACAGGAAGCTTCGTACGTTCTCTTCTTGTTTAGCAATTAAGAAGATAACACATAGAAGAATTAAACAGATATTTATCCAGCTTTCAAATGTAACCCGAAGAAGAAAAGCTACATACGTTAGGTACAGTTTTATTAAATTTGTATTGATATTTCGTTATTCTTTTATTTTCCTTTGTTCGATTAAATCACCTGAAATCCATTTTATAAATTCATCAGATCGTTCCAAGGAAAAGAAGAAACTGCAATTGTATCCCGATTCCATTTCCCTAGGGTTCTCTGTCGTTTTTTTATCAATTTCCGATCGAACTTATCACCGGAATCGATTAGAACAATCCGTGATACCTGTCCACGTTCGTCGACGAGGCAAGTAATCAACATCGCTACGAAATTTTGTTCAATTACATGGTACATGATCCGATTCAGAATAATAGAGCGACACGAGGTGACAGCTCGTTACGAGGTTTCACCTTTTTCCTTTTACCTTTGAAACTTTACGACCGAGTGGGATCGTGACTAATCCTACCCTGGGGGAGCGTGCGCCCCTACTACGCACTAAATCCACAGGGAGGACAGCATCGATTCCAGCGCCCCGTCCTTTACAATTTTTAACATTTTATTTTCCATTCCATTTGTATTTTCTCCTTTCCCATTTATCATCCTCTTTCCTCTCCTTACACGCCCACTGAACATTTCCTATTTACTCACGAGCAGTTCAAATCGTACTTTATTCCCTATACCGAGATATGAAAGATTCGTCCGTAACAGACGATACCAATTTTTCTTGACGGTTAAAAAAATCACGTGACTCGTGAATCTCTCGTCGAATCTTTTAGTCGCAGCGTCTCGAACCTAGATGGTGTTGTCTTCGCGTCATGGAAGATAATGGAGGTAAACGTGTTCGAAACGAAGAAATTTCGTTGCAATTGCTAACCAGAGTCGCAGTTTCAGATAAGATTTCAAAATTGGCGGTCGAAAGCGTGAGAAGCATTGAACCGGTGGCCCGAAGCGAGAGATACGGCGTCCCTGGATGGAAGTAGGCAGTAGGTAAGGGCAGAGCAAGGAGCGTGTGCGCGGTGGATAGAGTGCGAGCATGAGTAGGACGTGGGTCGTCGTGTGTCGCTGCAGAGGGCCGAGAGAGCGTGTCTCCTGCGGAACACAGCTGGCACGGACCGTCAAGATGTAAGCTGTCGGGCAGAGAACGCGTGTGTGACGGTACGCCGCTGGCCCAGGTCGAGAGAACGTGCCACGAGGAAGACGTAGAAGAACAGGAGAGACACGACCAAACGGACCGATCCGGGAGGATGGAGTAGAGCGGGAAGAACCAGGGATCGATTGCTTCCCGATTGTTGGCATGGAGGACACGACACTGGGGTAAGTAGCAAGTAGGCAGAGTAGAGTTAAGCTGATGGTTCTGCTTAAAGGGGTGCGTTCCGTCTCGTCAAATCAGAATCACTTCGTGCTATGTATTCGTGACCATATTTGGTGTATCCATTGTACACGCCAGGATTCTACGATCGATGCGACCTACTACAGATCCCAGCGATCTATCTTTCCGTAGCTGGCGTCTGCTGGCTTCGACATCGAGCCAGCGATTCTTTGCTCGCACCACCGCTCCAACCCACCCTCTTGGACACGCTCGAGGTCATCGTTGCCACCGAACACAGGATACCATTACTCGACCTGCTCATCACGGCTCATCTGCCAGTCTTCGCAGTCTCTTCTGTTCGATTCTGATACAAACGACAACTCACAGAGTACACAGAGAAAAGGAAGAACGCCGTGATAAACGCCGAGAAGTCAGCGCGGCTGCGTTAATAGAGCAGCTTTACCTCGGAGCGCAAAAAAGTTGTTAGCAGCTATTTACCTGAGGGTTCTAACCGACCCCTACAGTTTTCGAGATCATCACCGCTCACGGCTTGAACTCGTGCTGGTCTCGTTCGCGCCTTCGTTTTCTCTTTCGAGGCCTGCGTATCCTCCAGGTCGTCGTCCCTAATTCATCTGTAAAGCCTTTTCTCATGCGGTAAGAAAGGATGGCTGGAAGCGAAAGGCTTCTTCTTCACCGGTCATCCGTGTCCTTCTTTATCTTCTCGTCACCCTTATTTCGTGTTTCGAGCACGCAAAGCTCGTCGGTGCGAGGAGCCTTCGCCTGCTCGTTGCCTTTTGTTCGAAACTGAAGCTTTCTCGTTAATATCCTCGGACCTCCACTTTCGTTCCCCGCCCCTTGGACTCGTTCGTCATTCACAGGGGGACGCGAAACGAGCCTGCTTGTCGCGTGTCCTGAAAGCGTGTTCGCCTCTCCGCGTGAATAGTCGATGGAGTTTCACGAGGGTATCGAGTAGCCAAGCGTCGAAGTACGTCAATGGGTTAAGGAGGAACTTAAAGCAACCCTCCCTGCTCGAAGGAACCGCGTTTCGATACGCCTTCCCAGTCACGATTTTTCATAACGGATATTGTCCAGGTAGAGACATGTCTGAGGGATCGAATGCACCTGTTCCATTCCTGAAACGCGTCGCGTGCACGCAAAGGCGAGGATTTGCATGCGAAAATGGGCTCGTGCAAAGAGTCAAAGGTGCAAGGAGAGACGGTCGTTATTTAAGACGGCGATTGAACGAAAGGTCACGGAGCAGGTGACACGACGCTGCTTTTGCCCCTCCTCATGTTTTCCCGTGGAACGAAAGGTTAAGAGGACGTG